ATAGAGCTTTTAATTAGCTTTCGTTTGATACCAGAACGATTTCTGTAGCGTGTCTGGTTCAGATTTTATTTAGATTTTTGTCAGATTTGGAATTTGAAGTATCGGAGGAATCGATTTTCGATAGCTTCGACCTAAAATCTTGGACTTAGAATTTCAAATGCATTTCACAGCCAAAAGTAATGGAAGGAATAGAGATATCGAAAAAATTTCATCAGTAGTTTCGTTTCGAATTATTGAATACTATTCGAATATGAAGGTGAATTTTTTCGGAGAAAAAGTTGAAAAATCGCAAATTTCCGTTAAGAATTCCGTTAGGCGGTTGTTTGTTTGCAACGATCTTCGCCTCAGGGCATACTCACCCCACCGGCTAGCCGGTTTCTGATTGGCTGGAAGGAATGGTGTGATTATTGATTTTTTAGTCGATCGAAGTGGACGTGACTTTTTGAGGGATATGATTGACCGATTGGAGCTCGTCCACAAACATATAAATATGCAGAGTTTTGCATTATTCGTTCAGATTGTACCCATTGGCCCATCTCAAGGCCAATGATCAGCCGAAAGGGTAGGGGAGCTGGTCTCCAAATCCTGAATGAACTGAAGATGATCGTCAAGTTATTCGTTCAGATACTTTTCAGATTGCGAGCACGTATATTGAGATTTGAAAAGCCTTCTATACTTGCGATTATTTGACTGGCGATTGAAATACTATTACTTGGCGAGCATTTGAAAGCGATTACATTATTGGATTGTTGGATATTCTTCAGGAATTATTCAAAGGATTCATTGCGATTTGTTAGTTTTTTTTAGAACTAGGAGAATTCGATGTTTTATTAGTTCTTATTAGAACTGAAGGGAATTCGTAAATACTAATACATTTTTTCCGATTTCAGGTGACTTTTGAGTCAAATAGAATTCGTATAATTTCTCTGGATCTTTTCAGACCCAAATAGAGAAATACTTTTTTCGTTTTAGGGTTCTTTAAATGAATTCGTAGTCTCTGGTTCTTTTCAGAACTGTTTAGAGACACTTGAGGATAGGAGTAAAAAGTCAATTGGACTTAGTTCTGGACATTGAGGATTTTCTTGGAGGATTGTTAGATTCTGTTAGGATCTTCAAAAGAATTCGTTCTCTGGTCCTTTTCAGGACTCGATAGAGATAGTTTTCGAATTGGGATTTACAGGAGGATTTTTCTAGGAGTTGTTATAGGGATTTCCTCCGTATTCCGACGCCGTGTTGGTTTGACTTGAGCAGACTTGGAGGTGCTGCGTTCCCGGAGTCAAGTGGACTCAGATCTGGTCGGATTGGTGGCCGGAATTTTTTTCGTTCCAGAGTACGGTTCCTTACGCCACGCCAGGGGAAGCAGTCCAAAATCCTACAAAGGAAGAGTAGGTCTCCACTAAAGTTGCCCGGGCTCAGTCCACCCGATCACCTAGCGGTGTTAAAGATCGAGGTGTTTAGAGCTTAAATTCGGGGGAGTCAAGCCATCATTAGACTAGCCTCTGGGCTGTCGACTCAACGTTACCGTTGGGACCCTCCAGGACAACGAAACCTTTTTTCCAAACTTCCTGCGGACGGCCCTCATCCTAGGGTGCGGTTCAACAGTTAGGCTCCTTGATCCTTATTATTTAGCTCAGTTCACTCTGTAGGCCTTGTTAGGGAACTTAGTTTTCGCGAACAAGAGTGAACTTAGAATTTAGCTTTCCGTGAATCCTTCCCTCTGTCTATATCCAAGCCAGAGTCATTGTAGGGATTTTTGAAAACCGAAAAATGCAGACTAGGGCACAAGCGCGAGCAAACTTTGCAAAGGATACGACAGTGCAACATCGCGTGGTCAACCGCTTCGACCAACTTATTTCCAATTCAGACAACTTTAGTCGCCTGAGTGTGATTTCGACGACACAGCGAGAACCCCCAATGGAATCTGTGTTCGCGGGACACAGTATTCCCAGAACTCCAGCTGAGACATCTAGTCTGAGGATGTCTCAAGCTATTCGAAATACATCTGCCAATGAGGACATTAGCACCTCTTCCGTGGTCGCAGAGCGACAAAACCGTGGCACTTTCGGCTCCCTTGCAAGTCGATTAGATAGAGACAGCGAAAAACCTCAAAGGACTCAGTCCTCAATTCGCGATAAATTATCGGGAAGTCAAATTGTTTTAAATCGTTTTAGGGCACTAAATACCCCAAACACGAGAAGGATGGACGACGAAATCTTTGCTAGAGAACGTCAGGAGATGTTTTTCGAGAAGCGTCCCAATAAGGGAGAAACTTTGCAGATACAAAGCGCGCCCCAGTTAGGGCTCCGCGCAATGCTAAAAGCAGCCAAGAATTCCGCTATACCGAGATCGGTGGCGATGAAACAGATGGAGAATGGAATCCCTCCAAACAGGACAATTCTGTCTGACATTCATGAGAATTTCAGACAACGAGAGGTGTTAGCTACATACGTAGAAACACCTAAAGTGAATATGTACAGGGTGTACAGCCATCCTGTACCAGTGACGAATTTTGAATACACAAGGCCATTGTCAACCACGACAAAGAGTTCGTGCCAGAGCAACGAGTACACTCGAAGCGTAGGACGTTTCGAGTCCAGCGAAGGAATCTTCAGAGAAGAATCGCCGGCGGGCGTTAAACGTAGAAACGGAGGAGAGATTAGGTCAAGTGGACTTGAATCTGGATCGCCGGCGGGCGTTAAACGTGGAAATGAGATTTCCCGAAACACTAGGTGTTTCGGAAGCGAAGAGGACGACATCAGGGACGAGTACCTTGGAGATGGGTACTCCGACGAGGGATGTATCTTCGATGGGTCGCCGGCGGGCGTAAAACGCAGAAGCGAGGAAGAAGGACAGGTCGTCCGACGCCAGGCGTCGCGACGCCCCCAGGTCCACACCCTTAGCGGTGCCTGGGAGGGAGATGTTCGGCGCACAGGAGCGCCTTGCATCTCTCGTAAAGGTGCAACTGAGGCCCTAGCGGAAGTGCTAGGGGGAGGTGGAATGCCAAGGGGGCATCCTGAAGCAGTTTGTAGCTTGGGGATGTCTTCATGGCGGGCGAGGTTGCTCACACAAATACAAAAGTACAACGAGCTAGTCAGCGCAACACAACGACCTCCCGTTGAGCTCGGACAGAGTCTGGGTCCCGAAATCCCTGGGACTCAGGTCCGGGAGGCCAGCCGGACGTCTCGACGTCTTGAGGCGGTAGCTGAAGTATATTGCGGAGTCGGCGTTGCGGAGCACGCCTCCGCGCACACTGAAGCACATGGGTCGTGGGAAAAGGACGTCCAGTATACCCGGCTGGACTACGAGCTCCACCCGAAAGACCCCGCCGCACAACGTTTTGGAGGACACTGTATACCAGGTGTATACCAATATGTGCTCCTCCACTTGTTCCGAAATTTCCGTTCGGTCCAATCTTTTGTAGTTCGGTGAGTTTTCCAGTCTGAATTGGCCCATCCTGGCCTCCCTCATTATCACAAAGTGTGAAGGATGTAGATTCAGGAGTGTCTCCAATGCAGCTGTTGGAGTAGTTCCCATTGCTCCCGTCATTCCCAAAGATGCAAGTCTTCGCACCTTGCCTAGTTTGTTGATGACGGTCGCCTGCTTCATCTTTGGCCACCAGACCAGAGATGCGTATGTTATCATGGGTTCAACCACCATCGTGTATAGCCAATATACCATGTCTGCTTTTAGCCCCATGTTTTTCCATAGGTGCGTCTGGCGAGCATCAGTGCTACCTCCGCTTTCCTCTTTATCCTGTCCAAGTGTTGGTTCCAGGTCAGTTTGGAATCTAGGATTACTCCTCCCTCGACACTTGTATTTCTACACCTGGAAGTTTTAGAGGTCCGAGACCCTCCGTTTTAGCCCTCTTGGTGAATGCTACCATGGTCGATTTGGATGGGCTTATGTTAAGCTCTTCTTTTTAGGTTCATCTTGTTATAATGTTCAGGGCCTGCTGCATGCATCCCTTCACTAAATTATTGTATTTACCCTGGACTAAGATGACTGAGTCGTCTGCATAGCCCAGTGCTTTATACCCATTATGGTCCAAGAGACATAGTAGCTCGTCCATTACAAGGTTCCATAACAGAGGGGATAGAACCCCTCCTGGGGACAGCCCCTTGCTACCCGTGCTACAACTGTTTTTCCCAATCTTCCCCTAAGCATGCAGTATATCCACCTACAGCTTGTCTTGTCTATCCCTCTTCTCCTCGACGCCTAGATGATTGATTCTAACGACGTATTATCAAATGCCCCATCAATGTCCAAGAAAGCAGCTGAAAGTACTTCCTTGTGTTTGTAGGCATATTCTACTTTTTCTGTTAACCGAAATAGAGCCGTTTCTGTTGATATACCTGACCTGTATGCATATTGGTCTCGATGTAATGGTCTGATAGCTAGTGATACGTCCCTGATATGCCTGTCAAGTAGATTTTCTAATGTTTTCAACGCAAATGACATGAGACTAATTGGTCTCAAATCCTTCGCTGAGTCCTGTCCGATTTTCTCTGGTTTCGGAATGAAGGTGGCCCTGATCAGTCTCCAAATTATTGGTATGTGCCCCAGTGCTAAGCTTGCCCTGAGAATTATACACAATTTTGTGAAAAGTACTTCCGGTCCCTTTTGAAGCATTACTGGATATATGCCATCCGGTCCCGGCGACTTATAGGGTTGAAATGAGTTTACAGTCCATTTAATTTTCTCCATATCTATCACCTCCCTGGATGCCCTTTTCGAGGTCTCCAGTTCTGAATTCGCCCAGGACTCCGATGTTAGATTTGTAATTTCTGACCCGGGAAAGCGTATCCGGAAAAGCTCTCTGATAGTCTCTTCTCCGGTTTTTGTATATTCCCCCGTATTTGTTTTCAGATTATTTATTGAGACCTGAGGTTCCTTCGAGAGTATTTTGTAGAGCCTGGCACATGCTTGGGTCTGTTCGACCTTCTCACATTGCCTTCTCCACGTATCTCTCTTCGATTTTCTCAAGACTTCGTTATACTCAGTTAGGGCCCTTCTGTATTGGTCCCATGGTCCCTAGTTTTTTGTCTCATCCTCGCCAGATCTTCATTCCACGAGGGCACATTCCTGTGTAATATCTGATTTACTATGTGACAATGTTCGTTGTACGTAGAGATGATAGCTCCCTGTAATCGATCTGCTGGCAACTCTAGGTCTATGGAATCTCTTTTGTCAAAATCCATGCGGTCTAAACAGATTTCCAGGTCCACCGTATAGGCTCCCCAGTTTGTTTTCCGGGGATTTTGATATGTTAGTATCGAGGTCTGAATCCCTCTGATTTCAAAGTTTATGTGTCGATGGTCTGAACAACTTTCCTCATCGGACATATTCCATTTCCGAACATAGTTACTTACAAATGTAGTTCCTATCGTTACGTTTATCACTTCACTACGTCTCGCATTTACGAAAGTAGGTTTATTGCCTATGTTTGAAATATCCAAGTTGTTTGCCATGATAACCTGTAGTAAGTGCTCACCTCTTACATTGGTGTTTGTGCTTCCCCAGGTTAGGTGGTGTGCATTGGCATCACAGCCAATTATAAATTGTAGTCCCTCTGCTTGGCAGGCCCTAACCAAATCCTCCATTTCCCTGGTTGGTGGTGGTTCCGGACTGTCGTAAGGGAGGTATGCTGATCCAATGATGATTTCCTCAGGTCCGCCCCCGCCAGCCGTCTTCATTTTGACTGGCGTCAAGTCTCTAGAACACAAATTACTCAACGACAGTATATTTATTCCTTTACGGATGATTATGCATATTCTTGGGATCTCTGAGGTTCTGTTATAAATCATCTCCCCTCTGATGCCCCCCAATCCCATTATTTTTCCCCTGTACACCCAGGGTTCTTGTATGAGAGCAATACCAAACCCCTTCATCATTTTGGTAAGGATAGCCGGGGCCCCCTTACTGTGTTGCAGGTTTGTTTGTATCACTCTCAAAATTGCTGTTGAAACCCTTCAGGACCTTGAAGTTGACTATGCCCAGCTTGTAGTAGGCTTTTAACATGTTTCCCTCCAAGGCTCTGTAGGGAATTTCATTCGTGGAGTAGGCCAGGATTTGTCCTTCCTTTTCTACTTTTCTGCTCAGGAGNGATAACCTACTGAACTCAATCCCTGCGTTATTGAATTGTCCTTCATGATCTAAAGCCTCATAAGGAATCTTTTTAGGTCAGTGGAATTATTAACAAACATTCCAAGTTCAGACATTCATGAAAAGTTTTTGAAATGCAATTCATTTCAGTTCGTTTATTACTTTTTTGTCGTAAGACAGATGTAAAGTTCAATACACAAAAGAATAAAAAAATGCATTCATACAAATTATGCAAAGAAAGTACAAGTTAATATAAAATTACAATATACACTATATCAAACCCACTATATGAACACATACAAATTTCAACTTGTAAATTGTGACATAACAATTATTCAAATTTCTATTTTCTATATTGAAGGGTATACATTTCTTTTTCTGATTTGGCCGTTACTTGATGAAGACTTATAAAATAACATGATTCACAGGTTAGTCAATGTTCCTCATTCAGTAGATAATTTCAATAAATAACTTAATATCATCACGCAAATTGTAGTAAACATTGGGTTTGAATATAATTGAAAGTCAATTGTGATTTTGCGATGTAGAATATGTTTTTCGAAAAAATTCAAGGTCACTTTTGCCTAGTGACAATGTCAAAAGTATCAATAATTATACAATTTGAATGTATTTGTTCAGAATGATATCAAATTTGCTACCTTCGAGAGGAGAGATTAAATTCATAAGATTAATATACTTCATATATTCGGTATTGAAAAAATATTTCACAATATTTCATGAGTGTTTGAATTGACCGATAAGAAATAAAATTGACTTTCTCACAAAATATTATTTATTCTATCTGCTCATTTGAATACAATTATTTGAAAAATATTACTTTTCTGCTTTGAAAAAAGTGAGGTAATCTCAACTTTGGGACGAGAAACTCACTGTGGAATATTCTAGAACTCATTTTGTTTCCAAACTCAGTTGTTTTCCGAGCTACTTGACAAAAACGAATACTCTTCGAAAAACTGGATTGTTATTATTGGTATTGAAGATATAATTCTTGTTCAACGGTGATGACAGTCATCACCCGAAGACGATCGTGGATAATAACAATCAAAACGTCGTGAAGTAACTTGGCTTGAAACTTTTAAATTTTCAATCTCCGTTTCTTGTTAATTTTTCAATTTGTTACTTGTATTTTATTTCACTGTAAAGTTTTTTGCTTAATATAATAATTGTTATTTTCAGCTGATCTGTTTAATTTTATCGATATTTACAGAGATTTCAAATCATTTTATGTCATACTAGCTTTTACTCGGGGCTTGGCTCGCATTTATGCCATTGAATAAGTGTCAGTACAATAGAAATGAATCAATATGAGAACTATATTTTGATGCTTGGCTACGATTATCAATTTTTAAAAATTATTACCTAACGTAACCTAACCTAATCTAACCCAACCTAAGCTAATCCAACCTAACCTACCTTAACATAACCTAACATAACCTAATCTAACTTAACCTACACTACTCTACTCTACTCTACTCCACTCTAACCTAACCTCACCTAACCTAACCTGACCTTTTTTTTTCGGTGGGGGGGAAATCGCTTGACACCCAAGCCTTTCCGTCAATCAGCCCGGGTAGTGTCGGTCGCTACTCCGACTAAAACCCCCCCTTCGCCAATTTAGCCCGGAATTGTCTAGTGATATGCATCAGGCTATCCGCGTGCCAATGGTGTTATCTCTGCCTCCCTTCCGTCTCATTCTGGTTCCTTCTCTCTTCCTCTTCCTTTTTTTCCATTATCCCTCTTAGGTAGGTTTCTCCCCTTTTCCAGGAGGTTTTATCTCTGGTCATTATTTCCATCGTTGTTACTTCGAGGTCGAAGTGACTGTTAAGTGCATCCCATCTATCGCACTGGAAGATAGTATGCTCTGGGTCATCCCTATCTCCGCAGTATATGCAATCTTCGTCCGGCGACTTTCCTATTTTGTGTGTAAAAACCCGGAATGACCCGTGCCCCGTCATAGCCTGCGTCAGGAAATAGCTTGTTGTCCTAAAATTGCAGTCCAGCCACATCTTTATGTCCGGCAAGATTTTCTTTGTACATTGCCCTTTATCGTGTAGTGCATTCCATCTCTCCTGCCACATGGATATCGTTAGGTCCCTTTCAGTTTGTTTTATCCCTTCGATAATGTTCTCTTCTTTTGTAATTCTAGCCCGTTCCTCTATCAGCAAGTCTATAGGCGGTATCCCTGCGACAACCGCTGCCGCTTCTGCCGACACAGTCTTATATGCAGATATCACTCTCAGGAGTATCCTTCTCTGTGTCGAGATCATCATCCGTTTGTATGTGCCCACCCTCATCGCGTTTTTCCATACGGGTGCCGCGTAAAGGAGTGTCGATTGCACCACACCGTACATCGCTCGTCTCTTATGGTACCCAGGTCCCCTGATGTTTGGGAGCAATTTTGCTAATGCGTTGCATTGCCTTTCAGCTTTTTGGCACATTTTCCGTACGTGCTCATTATATATGACTTTATCATCGAGCCATACTCCTAGGTACTTTACGTATTTCTTAGGCCTGACCTGCGTTCCAGCAATTGTGTAGACAATGTCCTCTCTTTTACGCGGTCCCTTCAGGATTATCACCTCCGTTTTCTGCGTTGCCATTTGCAGTTTGTTTTCTAACATCCAGCTATATATGCTCGCGAGTGCTGTATTTGCTTTCTCGATTGAGTCCTGTTTTTGGTCCGCCCCAATCGTGAGCGCGAGATCGTCCGCATATGCTACCGTATTGCATCCTTCTGGAAGCTCTAATCTTAGGATCCCATCGTATAGCACATTCCAGAGGTTGGGCCCAAGCACTGATCCCTGCGGGACGCCCTGTGTCAGTGTCTGCCTGTAGTTTTTGCAGGTGATCGATCTGTCACACAGATAGTTTGCTATTATATTCTGTAGATATCCGCTGATATTCAGCTAGGCTAGATTTGCCTTAATTATTCCCCATCTGGCGGTGTTAAAGGTATTTTTAATATCAATGAAAATGACCGATCCCCACCTCGTTCTGGGAGCTGTCGTCTGTCGCAGTACGCTTAGTATTGCCTGCGGAGCGGATCTTTTGGCCCGAAATCCATATTGCTCCGCGGAGATAGATCCCCTCTCCTCCAATTCCGCCTCAAGTCTGGCCTTAATCCAGCTGCTCTGGAAGTTTCCCAAGGGAGTCCAGAAGGCAGATCGGCCTGTACTTTTTTCCAGCCCATCCTCGTTCCCTTTCGGTATAAGTATTACCCTGGCCTCTTTCCATTGCCGTGGAAAAGACTCTTTAGTGAGCTGGTCATTCATTATATACAATATGTTCTCTGGCATTGTCTGCGCCGCAATCTTCACTATTTCGGGTAGTATACCATCCGGTCCAGAGGACTTTTTGTTTTTTATTTTTTCAGTGGCGGCCTGTAGTTCCTCCCCTGTGAAGATTGCTAGGTTCGTCACTTCCTTGCGGTGTATTACTTGTTCTTCATAAGAATTTGGGAATAGTTCTGCCAGCCTGTCTGCCTCCTGTTGTGGATTCATTTCATAAGAATGTCTTACTAAGTTCAGTTGCTTCGACACTATCTGGTACCCCTGTCCCCATGGGTCCTCTTCCAGGGCATCACAGAGTGTCTTCCAGCCTTCCCTTTGGGCTCGTCTTATTTCCCGCCTCATGTCTCTTCTTGCGTTTTTATATGTCATCTCCTTATTGTTTATGTCCTCCGGGTTGCCATTTCTTCCTCTCGCCCTCATTAGCGCCCTCCTGGTACGGTTGCAGGCTTCTCTGGCCTTTTGAATATCGTCATTCCACCACGTGGGCTGTGTTTTTTGCCTTCCACTCGGATCTTTGCTAATGGAAACTTTTTGAGCGTCTAGCAGGGCGTTGCTTATCTCATCTAGCTGGTACAAGTTACCCTCTGTCATCTGTAGCATGCTAGTCAGTGTTTCTTTATCCAAGTTGTGAGTTTTGAAGCCTTCCTTTCTCTTGACTTTATTTGACGTTTCAACTGTGTATCGTACATATCTATGCAGGCTCATGCTTTCTTGCTCAGATACCTCCCAGTTTCCTACCCTGTTTGACAGCCTCTGTGTTGAGAGTGTGATATCAATTATTGACTTCTGCTGCCCTCTCACAAACGTTGGCGTGTGCCCCCAGTTCTGTACCGTTAGATTTAGCGACTGTATCCAATCTGCCAGGTATTCGCCTCTTGTATCTGAGGTGGCAGCATTCCAGATCGCTGACTTGGAATTAAAATCTCCTGCGATTAAGGCCTCCTTTCCTCCATTCCTTACGTGTTCCATGATCGTATCCACGTATGTTTCAAAGTTCCTTTGTTCAATATTTGGGGATATGTAGCAGTTATATATTGCCCAGTCGCCGAACTTCAGGCAGACAAACCCATCTGCACTTTCGTGTCCCATTATTCCGCAATTGCGGTTTCTACACCATATTGCTGTGTTTATGTCCTTTCCTAGAATCCATTTTTGATCATTCCTCACTATCGCTTTATTCGGCTCCTGGACCAGTATGATGTCTACCACCTTTTGAAGTAGGTGATGGGCGTCACGTCTTCTGTCAGCGTTCAATTGGAGGATCTTTAGGGGCATTTACAGAAGGGGGGTCTCTAGATCCTAGCGAGGCGTGCTTTACGGCGTGCCTCCACCAGTTTTTTAAAAGAAGGACATCTCATCTGGTCCGCCCTGTGCCCTGAGCGCTTACACTTCCAGCAGTAGGCTTGTTTGGTACAATCATTCACCCTGTGATCAACCTGTCTGCACTTTACACATCGGTCGCTCCTGTCCTCCCCTTGGCAGTCGGTTGTTCTGTGGCCGAAATCCAGACACCTGTAACATCTCGGAAGCTCTATTCTCTCCACTACTCGGCATTGCGGGAGTCCAATTCGTATCGTTCCCCTCTTCAATAAGCTGCCTACAGTGTCTTTCGGCACTTCCACTATTGCAGTCAGCTCACCATATTGCCTAGTTCTGACATGCTTTATGTCAACTTCCCTGGCATCTGTGCCCAGCTCTTTTGCTAGTGCGTTGACTGTTTCTTCATTTGTTGCCGTTATTTCCATTCCGGAGACAATTATCGTGGCTTTGTTGCTGGCTACCTTTACTTGAAGATCCTTAGTTTTATTACAGATTTTATATCTCAAGTTTCTTGCCTTCTCCTCCCCTCCGTCAATGTTGAGAAGCATATGTCCTGCTGCCGTTTTTCTTATCCTGGTGATTTTCACACCTGTCTCCTCCCCTGCCATCCCATCCTTGACTGTCTTCACCAGTTCAGCATATGTCTTTTCTCCGCTCCTCACCGTAATGGCGTAATTTTCCTCTCGCGACTGTTTTGTCTTCCGGGTCTTCGCTTGGGGATCAGTGGCGGTCAGGATGGTAACAGCCATGTCGCTTTTTCTTGCCGTTCCCTCTAGTATCTTCCTTGCATAGTCCGGGTTCAGTCCTTCGGGTATTACGACCTGCAGGCCGTTTCTCCCCTCTCTCTGTGTCGTCTCCATTAGCTTATCCATGATGTTATAGAACGATTCTATATCATTTATGCCCCCTATCTTGTCCACCTCGTACGCAGCGACAAATACGTACCTGACTTGGTTTACTTCATTGCTGCCCCTCTTACTCCTCATCGACCTCATTTCATTTTTCAGGTATTCAACGTCTCCATTTGTTATTGTTTCTATTATTTCAGTGATTTCGGGGTATCTCTCTCATTCCTTTTAAGTACTTTTCGGCTACTGCAAGTTTTCCACCAATTATAGCTACGTCTCCTTTATCACTGGCTCTCAGTAGACTGCCCATCTGCCGCTAACCTGACCTAACCTTACCTAACCTAACCAAACTTATCCTAACCTAACCTATCCTAAACTAACCTAACATAATTTAACCTAAATTAACCTAACCTAACCAACAAAGTAGGTGGATTTTGAGATTTTTTTGACAAACAATTTTTTATCCCACATAAAAATAGTTTTTTTTTTATAGAAAGTATCCTATATTACTTCTAATAGCTCTAAGAACATGGGTACAACATTTCATAATGATCGGTTAAGTAGTTTTCGCGAGAAACCGTAACAAACAAACTTACATTCGCATTTATAATGTTAGTAGGGATAGGGATTAGACAATGAAACCCCGAACTAATGAAATGCATGTCAATGAAATATTCACAGAATAGGACGCGGTGGTCGAAGATATCTTTATTAAGGCAATACACCATTTTATTATCACGTAGGTTATCTTTTGAGTTGCTTCAAAATTGTGAGAACAGTAATTTCATTGACACCAGACGCGATGAAAATTTATACCGCTTTACTCCTCATTGCGAGCTAAACTTTAATTTTTCTTCTCTACGGATCCTGTCTCCATATCAAAACAACTCTGTTTCTTGCATCAACAAAGGAACCGACAAATTGAACCTAAATGTCATTTAATTATTTCTGTATAAACTGATGGAAGTTTTTGTAGAGTATAGAGAAAACTTGTTCTTGTTCTTTTTGTTCATCAAACAGAAAATTTCGAAACTGTAAAAAAAAAGTAGTCATTATAGAATGGAAGTAAAAATCAGAAAATAGTTTCATTGCTCAGCATCGACCACCCTTATTTCTCGAGAACGTATCCACAAAAATGCAAAACGAAAACAAAGTCATTAGATACTGAAAAGTACCTTCGAAGTATCGATCCCTTTTTCTATTCAAAAAAATTTGAGAAGACACAGTCTTTGACAAAACATAGCTTCTTTGGTCGGTGAACTGTTCTCGATGGGACACTAGTAATTGATTATTTTCCAATATCTCAGGCCTCGGTCAGAGTGGCACCGTTTTCGGTCGAAATTAATTTTGACCGTGTACAGCCGAATGAGATCGGTCGATAATGATGGTCTATATATAGATGTTTTCGGTTGAGATCACTAAATAGGTAGGATACGTTTTAATTCTTTATATGGTGCTTTTCATTAAAAAGTGAATAACCGGCAGGAATTTACAAGCCTACTTGTTGACAGAAAGTAGCCAAGCGCTAAAAGTGTTATTGTTGAAAAGAAAAAAGAAACTCTACTACATTAATGACATTTATCAATCCAGAGAGAAAGTTGGTGAATTTCATACGCTTTTTCCAGAATTACTGGATCAGCCTGAAAAGTTTATTGAGTTCATGAAAATGGATAAAGAACCGTTATACTACATTTTGAATGGAATTCAGGATACCATTCGGAAATACTCAAATTTTCGTCGGTGTATATCTCCAGAGGAAAGGCTTGTTGTTACTCTGAGGTAAATAGGATAGCACCTTCCATTATTCATAATAAACAATCGAAAACGAAACGAAAACGAAAACGAAAATATGTATTCTTGGAAACGTAAAAATAATTAGTCTCAACATTCAATAATTTTATTTATTGCTTTATTAGGGAAACACACAATTTCGCTTAACTGACCAGAAAAGTCTTGAGTGCTAGTAGTTGGTGGGCGTAATTCCCAGTAATTTTTTTGTTGGGGGTTGTTTTGGCCATCATTGGTTGATGGAAGTGAATCATTTGTATGACCTTTTGTTGAATATGGAGGTGTTGCAACAGGAATAAAGGGTGACTGGTTCAAATCACAAAGTTTTTTTTCTTCAAGAATGAGCTGCTGAATTTCAATTCGCGTTTGTAATTTATGATCGTTCAGAATACATCGTAAATGTAGTAGTTAACTCAGTAGAAAGAAATAGTTTTCATCTTGAATTTCTGTATCTGGTTGGGAGTGAGAAACCATCACGTCTAATTGAGCAATTTTTTATTTTTCAATGGCTATCAAGTCACTTATTGGGTCCTTCTGAGATCTAAATCTCTTTTTAGTAGGTTTGGGCATCTCCATTGTGTTAACAGATTTCGGATTTTGCAACATATGTGTTTCCTTTGCATTTTGGTTTGTTTCCGTTGGGGTTTTGTCAGACTTCGATGTTGTTTCAGAACCGTCTGAGGATTGTGGGTCATCATCAAATTTTAGATCTGAATTAAATTCATTGTTTGATTCGTTCCGAATATCTGTAGGGGATTCCGAATTCCAGTTTTCTCTTTCATTAGGAACATTGCTTACAACTCGTCGTGGTGCAAAGAAATCACTCAAAAATGTCAACAGATCAAAATATTTCCATTTTGAAGTAAAGCCTTGAGAACCAGACCCGGTTGGTAATGAAGATTTTATGTACTCCTAGCGATAGGTATCTCTCAGATTCTGTCATTTATTTTTAACGGCACAACCTAAAATAAATAGATTATAAATAATTATTATCTCTCTTTGTACACTGATGCTATTAAACTACAAGTATTATTTGTTTATCGATTTACTTTATTTATATTTTAGTTTTATTTGTATTTTGTGGGTTTCTGTCAACGGAAATTGCATTCAGGTCACTAGCATTCTCTTTTAGAATGGCTCATAGCAAATATTGTTTACGAAACATGTGACGCTATTTGAAATATATTTTGTTCAAAACATATGGCTCACCTACACCGGATGACTTTCCGGAACTTTCCAAATTGCGTTGGATGTGTTGACGGCAAATGTCCAAATAATTCTGGATCTTAATTTTATAACTATAAAAATATTTTCCAATTCATCTTCAAGGGATTGTAGATGCAAACTATAAATCCATAACGATAGATATAGGAGCATATGGAAGACAAAGTGATAGTGGAGTATTTACTACAACTAATGTATATCATGGCTTAGAAACCAATACATTCAATTCACCAGCAGACAGACAAGTATCAAATACAGATGTGATATTTCCCTTTCAATGTTCTTTGAACACGTCACAAAGGACGAAATACTTGAGGTGACGAACTCATTACCAAATAAAAAATCTACACGTCTGGACGAAATTTCGATTTCAGTAATTGAAGACACCAGACTAGCTTTTAAGCATATTATCAATTTGTCCGGATTGCAGTGTAAATTTCCCTCTAGCCTCAAATTAGCCTCTATAATTCTTATTAAAAAAAAGGTGATCCAAATAATATTGAGAATTATTGAATTGATAAAGAAAGTAATGGCCAATAGATTCACAAATTTTTTCAACAGATATCAGGTTTTATGTGACAACCAGCATGGGTTCCGTAGTGGTTTGACAACTGAAATAAGCACGATAGAATTTGTGCAATATGTCAACAACAAAATGGACTCTGGCGAATTTTTTATCTCAATTTTCTTTGATTTTACTATAGCTTTCGACTCGGTCGATATTTCTTTCATATCTGATAAATTGAATCACCTTTGTGTCCGCGGCCCAATCAATGAGTAGATCGTTTCCTTCCTCGAACGAAGAAAGTTCATTGTTGAGATTGATGACGTCATCTCGGAAGATATTGGTACACCCCAGGGAAGCGTACTGGATCCTCTAATTTTTCTCATTTTCATTAACGACCTTCCCATTCACATATCTCGAGGAAGGGTGCTTATGTATGCAGATGATACTTGCATTAATGAAAGACTATTCGAAAAGGTCAACACAATCCCAATAGAGTTCAAGGAGTTATGCTTCAAAAAAAATTATGATTAATCATAATAAGACGGAATATATAGAGTTTCATAGCAAACATAGAAGACCATTGCATTTACCGCTCTCATGTGAAGGAATGTCAAATGAACCATCCATAATGGTGAAGTTCTTAGAAACACAAATCAACTGCAACCTATCATGGAACCCGCATGTCGATGTAGTTTGTGGCAAGCTGAACAAATGTGTCTATATGGTCACTACACTCCAAAACATGCTGGAACGAGAATGTCTGCTTGAAGTTCACTATGCACTGGGGTACTTCGCTATTTCATATAGTATAATAATAATAATGATAATAATAATAATATTTGGGGAAGAACTAAGTTGCTGCAACAAATATGCTTGCCGTTCCAATCTTACTCTACTCGTTTGGAGTAGTGAAGTGGACTCGGGAGGAGCTGTATGAACTCTATGTAAAGACCCGAAAAATGATGCATCTCTATAGGATTTTGCATCCCAAATGGTCCGTTCCACGGTTGTACTTCCTCCGACAAGAGGGAGGTCTTGGACTTTTGAGTTTGGAGTGTCTACATGACAGAATGGTACTGGATACAGCCTGTAAAGTTGTCAGGAGTTCGGATCCCCTTCTCTGCATGGTCCGTGACCACGAGAGATCAGGAATTGAAGCATTTCTCCTTAGGGCAGCTGCCCGAGCAGCTGATGAACTCGGTATAGTTTTCGACTCTGAACGAGGTGACCACAACTCTGTCACAGTATTGGAACTTGTCAGCAAAAAGCTCAGATAAAAGCCGCAGAGATCACTTTACTTTCGCAGTGACACAAGGATAAGCCAATACATGGGTTGCCAGGATGGTGTCTTCAACACCTTAGTCTACCGCAGTCGCGTGATGGGTATTGAGGTCCCTGACACAAGGTGCAGGGCCTGCCGCGAGGTGCCCGATACCCTAATGCACTTGCTATCAGCATCCAATTCCGGGGTATATTGAATCCGTTGTGGGGAACAAGAAGTGCCGAATTTATTGGAACTATTTCCCACCCTCAGGCTCATACAAGCTAATAAGCCTGATGTAGTCCTTCTCGACCACCAGACCAAAACGATATTTGTCGTGAAGTTTTCAGCTCCTGGCGAGACGAA